AGAATGCAACGAGTAATATCTCACTGCATTAGATTTGCAGACAAATGTAAAAAAATGGGGTAGAACATAAACAACTCACTCCTAAAGAATTAGAGAGTATTTTGCAAAGAGTGATAAAGAATACTCAAGTATTATATTATGCAGAAGAAATAAAAACGCCAAAGAGTGAAAAACCACTTAACAAAAGGTAAAAAGTAAACTATTTTACTCGAAATTTTTATCCTATGTGGATAACTATGGTATATTACGGATTACAGGGAGATTTCAGAACACAGAGTTAACACATGATGAAAATCATCCCTTAATAATACCTCACAGAAGCAAATTAAGTTAACCAATAATATATTGCCATACAAAAACGTTGCATGAAGGCCTACAACAAACTCTGCTCTACATAAGAAAAGATTTTGGATCACGCACGCAAAAGAGTAGAAGAAGTAAACACTTGTGTCAAATCTAAAATATACAAAGCTGAATCGGCTCAACAATTAATGAGATATTAACTAAGAGCGAGAGTAATCCAAGCTCATCCATTTGAAAATACTGGTGTAGAGTACAGCGGACCAATCAAAATAAGAGCAACCAAAAGAAGAGGGTACAAGAGCTATAAAGAAAACATATCACAGTATTTGTATGCCTAGCCACAAAAGTTGTATATCTCGAAGGAGTAAGCGATATGACAATGGATGCATTTGTATCTGCATTTACGAGATTTCTGTTATTCCAACATAGTGAGAAAGTAAAAGCATCATTAACAAACACCCTAACAACATTAGGAACGCATTGGCACTTTATACCAGCGTTTGAGCCACATTTTGGGGGTTAATGGGAAAACGCTATTAAAATTATGAAATATCAGTTAAAGAGAATATTTGGGGATAGTTTGTTAACATACGAAGAGCTAACTATAGTGCTAGCTCAAATAGAGGCATGCATGAATTCCCGACCTTTATGCGCTGATACGGAAGATACGTAGAACAGAATAATATTAACTCCAGGACACTTCCTAATTGGGAGAGAACTAATTTTGCCAAATAGGAAGGAAGAGTTGTGCACATATACGAATATGCCATAAATGTGGAGGCAGTTAGAAAAAGTAAACAGAGATTTTGGAACAGTTGGAGTCATGACTACTTATCAAATATACCAAAGCGATATAAGTGGCAAAAACCCGTCACAAACCTAGAAAAAGAAGTAGTGGGGATAATAAAGGAGAATGACACCTCGCATAGAAAATGGCCACTAGCGAAGATAATCGTAACACATCCCAGAGCTGAAGTTTTACCCAACACAAAAGTCGCAACAGTTCAAAAGGCGAACGGAAAAGTAACTAGTCGTCCTATACACAAGTTATTAACAAGTATGAATTTTGGAGGGCTGTTGGTCTGTATAAGTTTGGAAGCTCGGCCGTTGGGGAAGGTGTTAATTTAAACAGTTTACAGCAACATTTCGCAAGACTTTTGAATACGGAGATAACATCAGATCCTGTGCTGTATGCAGAACCACTTATCTTCAATGAACATTTAGACCGGCCGTTTAGTATGGAAGAACTTCAAATAGCATTGGATTCTTTAAAACCAAATAAAGCGCCAGGAGTGGATAGAATTGCTGCTGAGTTTTACAAGTTTCTTCCAGAAAACGGAAAAGTGCTTGTACTTGGGCTTGCCAATAATTTTTTCGACAAACCAGACTTTCCTCAGGGATTTTATAATGCAATAATTTTTCCTCTTTATAAGAAAGGAAACACGGAGAATGCAGAAAGTTACCGAGGTATTAGCTTCTTAAATGCAGTAACCAAACTCATTGCGGCATTGACTTTAACTAGACTTACCTCGTGGGTACAAAATAATAACATTTTAAACGAGTTCCAGGCAGGATATAGAACTGGCTATTCAACTATAGACAACATTTTTAATCTTACAAGTATAGTAAAAATCCAACATGCACGGGGAGTAAAAAATGTTTATACATTTTTTGTGGACTTTAGTGCTGCTTTTGATACAGTTGATCGACGGGCACTTTTTTACAAGTTGAGTCATTTAGGATTATCTACTAAAATGCTGAATTTGTTAAAAAGTATGTTTGCGAATACAAAATCGGCAGTCTGGTCAAGGGAAGGTCTATCTGACTGGTTTGACTGTAATGTAGGAGTGAGACAGGGATGTCTTTTAAGTCCATTGCTGTTTGCGCTTTTCTTAAATGACCTACATAAAGCATTGGGAGGCGGTTTGGAAATAAATGGTTTAATTATAAGACTTTTATTATATGCAGATGATTTGGTTTTAATGGCAATCAATTCGAAGGTGCTACAGCGGATGATTAATGAACTAGAAAAATACTGCAGGATGTGGAATCTAAAAATAAATTTAGATAAATCGAAAATTCTTGTGTTCAGAAGAGGAGGTGGTGTAATCAGGGAATCTTGGAAACTCAATGATCGAGTATTAGAGGTAGTGAATAACTATAATTATTTAGGAATGATATTAACACCCAAGTTGTCGTATAAAGCTCATCTAAAAAAGCGCCGGAGTTTGGCAAAAGTCGCGATTCACACGGCTTGGAGTAGTTTAGTGTCTAAGGCCGAAATACCCTTTTTGGCTAAAGTAACAGTGTATGAGTCAGTGGTAAGATCGATTTTGACTTATGGGTCTCAGGTATGGGGTATTTTTGAGTACGATGAGGTGGAAATAGTCAGAAGATTTTATATAAAAAAAATGTTTTCTTGTCCAAGGTATTGTCCTAACTTTATGTTAGATTTGGAGACAGGTATTGCTAGAGTCAGCCTATATACGATGAACTTACATAAAAACTATATTAAAAAAATACTAGGATATACGAATGATAGGTTGCCAAAATTTCTTTTAAAGGAAATGATGAGAGCAAGGTGTGGCTGGTGGAAAGATTGGATGAGCATGGGAGAAAAATTTGGTATTGAGGTGAGGTGTGAATGGGAATGGAGAGATAGCTGGCCTAGTATGATTGAGAATATGATAGAAAAGAAGAAGGAGGAGATACAGCGTCAGGCTGAGAACAGGGCACTCGAATCAAATTTTTGTGGACACTACAAAGAATTGCGGGAAGAAGGAGTAAACATGCATTACCTACTGGAAATGGAAAATTTTGGGGATATTCGATGGCTCTTTAAATTAAGATGTGGGGTTCTATATTTGAATGATCGACCTGGCAGAAATGATGAAAGAAGAGTTTGCTCAATGTGTAACACGAAGGAAAGGGAAGATGTGATACATTTTTTGGGAAAATGTTCGGTGTTGAGACATATTAGGTTAAAGTGGTTGGGTAGATATGAACTTAGTAGAGTGGAAGTAGTTACTATGATGAGACAGGGCAAGGCTGAGCTAGCAGGTTATTGTAGGGAGGCATGGGTGTATAGGTATGAGTTAGTGAGCCTATTTAACTACTAAATCTATTAGCGTGGTGTTATATTAAAATTAGGATTACTAATTTGTTTGCTTATATCTATTATCTTTTTATCTATCTGGTCTATCTTGAATAATATTGTTATTATTATTGTTACTATTATTATTGTTGTATCTGCAGCTTTCACTCCCTCAAAGGGATATTCAATATTTTCAATGATAATCCATACCTCACTGTTTTACATTGTTATTATTGTTGAGTCTAGTGCGAAGTGTTACTTAGTAGGATATATACATTTAGTTTATTACTAACATTTATATGAATATTTACATAATTTATTTTTTATTTATTTTAATGGCCTTGTTACATAGAATAAGCCTTTGTTTAATTTTTTGTATATTAATTAGGGAATATTTGTTTGCCAACCCTCCTGATGGCATGTGCCAAGGAGAACAAATGTCACTAAAAGTATTGCATTGTATTTTTTTTTTATATTGAGAAATAAAAGGCATTATTGATTGATTGATTGATTGATTGAACAAGTTTGAATATTTTTGATTGCATTATCACTGGCGCAATCCATCCTAATGAGTGCAGAATATTTTTTTCCCTTAAATGTCGAATATTAAATATATAAAAATTTAGTTGATACTGTTTACTTCCTAATTTTTTTGCCAAATCGGCTGAAAACGAAATAAGCGTCACAGTTGTCGAATTTGACCTTGCCTAATTGCCTTTAAATTTTAAATAAGTTCCCACAAACATTCGAAGACCCGGCATTTTAAGATTCAATTTCGTGTCCAAGGAGTGCCAGAAGAGAAACCCTATCGGTCACAACATTAGAATGTGGTACGACAATGTATGATTTTGACACGAGGAGGATGGTATAGCTAAAGAAGAGGAGAGCAATGAAGCGACTTCGCGTGTAAGGTTCGTTTTCGTGAGGTTTTGAAAAACCAGCAGTTTCCCTTAATTTCATGTGTGTAATGAGAAGAAGGTGATTTGAGCTTAAAAGGCAGTATGGCAATCTTTGTAATATGTGTTAATCATTGTTTGTTTTGAGCTGTCTCCTATGTCAAGGGATTTGATAGTAGCACCATGGGGGCTAAGTAAGCCGACATGGTTTTAAGTAGAAAATAAGCATTTGAGTTTAAAGGATCACATATTGTTATCATATAGGATAACAAAAGGTCCAGTTTTGGTATTTGATTTCTTCCAGGATTTGTCCAGTCTCCATTTTGTGTCTTCCAGAGGTTTTTTTTTGTCCAAATCTATGGTAATAAACTTTTTAATAAAAAAAATAATAATTACTCAGTAAAGCAAGTGGTTTTCTTAAATTTGTGTAAAATGAGTAAATATTTGCTTAAAGAAAAAGTTCTAGAAGGAAAGAAAAATAAAAAAAGAACTATTTAAAACTGTCTAAAGTTTCTTCGTGCAGATAAATAACAATCAAAAACAGGAGAGTATTATATTGAGCGTTTGTTGACTTTATACAAGTAGTTTTAGAAAATGTCAGTATTAAATCTAGTTTGTCAGGCAAAAGACTGATAAAATCCAGGCAAAAATCGAGCAACGGATCCTCAGGCACAAGAACCACTATGTAAAAATTATTTATAAGGAAACTAATAATTTCCGAGGGTTCTACTGCTTACTGGTAAATCCGCCATTGTATTTAACCCGCTATGGATGAAGGTCCATAAATTGATAATACCGAAAGTAGCGGGAGCCATACCAACCTGCGTCTTAATGTTTCTTCTGCCCATTCTTCTGGACATAACCCTCTTACCAGTACCATCTTCGCAGCCGCTCGGGCTTGGACTGGACGCGCGCTCGCAGGTGCTGTCGCAGCTGCTGGACCTTCTGGATGAAGGGCGCCGATGGGAGCCGAGACGGTGGACTCGCAGGTGGGTTTCTTGGCCGCCGCTGGGACGGCGCAGCGTGCTCACCGTGGAGTCCTTGCCGTTGACTGAGTAGTGTACTGCGTAGGAAGGCTGAGTGGTTGGAGAGGTAGGTGTGACCTTAAATGAAAAAAGATTATTGACACAAAAGACACAAACGAACTTCTAATAACCAAGAACCTACTCTCGTGTACTTAATAGTGTAAGATCTGATCATAGATCTATATACTGTAAATTTAAAAATATAAGGCCTTTTTTATAAACGGTGTTATCGTTTTCTTGTAGTTAAATTTTTGGCGAGAACGCAAAAGCATACGCCAAATTTCTAACTGTCATTTTTGTAAAATGGATCTTTAGAACTTTGATTTTGAATTTGAAAGTAGTAACTATTTTTATAGTCTGTTATGATTTGGCATACTGTTAAGAATACAGTAATTTACAAATCGCTTATCGCTGTGTAGTGTACCATTCGTCATACTATCATAATCAATTATGAGAGTACTCATATTTAATAGGGTAAAGGTAGGAGGGGAGATGGACTAGGAGGATAGTCGGTCCGCTAGGTATATCTGACCAAGCTTGGCAACAGGGTAAGTATATCCTATAGGGCGAGCTATAAGGGCAAGCATTCTGTTTATTCGTTAGAGAAACTGAGTCCTGTTTTGTCAGACCATTTCTGGAGATTATTTAATGCGCTTTGTAGGATTCATTGGGTGGATTCTAGATTTATTCCTTTCAGTAGGATAACCAGATCTTCTGCGTATAGTCTTGCTTTTACTGGATGTTGACATTGTTCCAAGATGTCGTTAATTGCATCAAGAAATAAAGTAACACTTAACACCAATCTTTGGGGAACTCCTTTTATTATCCTTTTAAATCGTATAATTGAGAAATATTTCACCTGTTCTATCTCAAATTCTTAAGAAAATAAGAAATTATTGAATAAAATTTTATACATACGATTTCAAATTCACGGTGATCTCAAAATATATATATCGTATGAAACTTCTATTTACTTACATAAAACAGCAAATATTTGAAATCGTTCTGTTTCCGTTTCCAATGGCTTTCTCGTGAATGCATTGAAGTCATTCTGAGCAGACTGTCTCCAATTTACTACAATATGAAGAGAAGTTCTAGCAAACAAGAATTGGCGGAAGAGCGGGATTTAGAACTTTGTTCTATAAATATATACGGGTTGAGTTTTTAGTACAATATCGCTAGATAAGTCTGTTATGGTGCGAAATTTCTAAAAAAGTTATATAGAAAAAATGTAAGCAATCATACAGTTTGGATAATTGTCGAATTCGACAGAGAAAGTAATAACTATGTGATAAAGCACACTATAATTTTGAAGTGAATTATTCTTATCACTCGATATCATGTTTTTGCATGGCCCGAAATAGTATTTAGCGCAAATAGAAACATTTTTAAATCTACAATTATATTCTTTCTTTTAAAAAATGGACATTTTTTATACAGTAAATTTTTTAAATCTTCCACTTATTATGAGTTGATAGCAAAGATGAACAGAATTAAATAAGACGAAAATTTCAAATTGACTTGGTTGGTTGGCCAAAACAAGCAAAAATTCTATATAGGGCAAACAAATCGTAGAATTCAAAATAGGATTTATTAACATTTTATTTCTGTTTGCAATTCCGACTCAATTTCAGCTAAATATCAACACCGTTTTCATGCAGGTCACAAAACTAATTTTTAAATCTTCAGAACCATAGCCCCATCCGTTTCTATAAACTAAGAATTATCTAAGAAGCCACAAAAATTAAAAAATCCCGAATTGTCTCAATAAAAGAGATGGCCTCTCTTTAAAAAAAATAAAAATTTCCCTGTTCCAGAAACTAGAAAGAATGTACGTCAATTCTTTGGATAAATCAGTTATTATCGAAAGTTTGTCCAAGATATTGCAATTATTTAAGACTTTGAACAACTTATTAAGAGAAGACGTTGATTTTATTTGGTCTAAGGAGTGTCAAGAAAGGAGTGCCAATTGATATATATATATATATATATATATATATATATATATATATATATATATATATATATATATATATATATATATATAGATACAGATGTCAGCATAAAAGGAATAGAGCTGTATTAAAACTAAATAATGAAAACGGATGTAGCAAGACGCCAGTGGCATATTTTTCAATAAAATAATTAGAATGTCTAGCGACAAAGGAAGATATATGCAGTGACCAACTCTCAAATATTAATTTGCAAAATAATAAAACTATATACAGTTTCAACAATGATAGATATTATAAAAAGTCAAACAGAAAAGACAAAATTATTTTATCTGAAGCTTTAAGTAAAACGATAAAAAATGTACATATTACTTACTGTCACTTAGGAACAAACTAGATGTTAAATAAAATATCACCATTTGATACAGCCAACAATATGACTACTCAAATTAAGAAAATATGTGATAATTGTGATATCGGCAATAAAAATAAATCAAAAAAGAAACCTAACTATGGTTTAATGTCACAATTAGGACCAGCTACATATCAATTTGAAATTGTCTCCATTGACACCAATGGTAGTTTTGGAGGATCTTGGATACAACAAAAAAAATATCTTTATCTCTTAGTAGACCATTTCTCAAGATATGCCTATTGTTTGACATCAAAACACAAAACTCCGATGACTTTATAAAGATAATTAAAATAATAACACAAGATCACAAAATTAAAACTGTTATGACTAATTAATATCCTGGCATCAACTCAAAAGAATTGAAAGATTTCCTGCAGATCAGTAACATCAAAATGATATTTACTGCTGTTAATGCACCATTTTTAATCGGTATCAATAAAAGATTAAACCAAACATTGGTTAATAAAATTAGATGCAAAATAAATGAAGGTGACAAGAAAACAGCATGGAAAACAATTGCTCAAAAAATGTGTAGAGAAATATAATGAAACTGAACATAACATCACAAAAGTTACACCAAAATATTTAATAGAAGTAGAAAATATAAACATTGTGCCACATGAACTAACATCAAAAGTCACACATGCTGATCTCGAACTGAATTGAACAATTGTTTTGAAAAATACAAAAAAATCACATGATTATAATCAAAAGCAGTTCGATCTACACAGGAAGGAAATTGATTCGCACATTGGGGATTTGGCATATGTGGAGAATGGTAACCGCCTAAATAGAAAGAAGTTAGACGAATTAAGGATTGGACCATACAAAATATTAAAGAAAACTTCCAATTCAATTTATGAAATTGATACTGGGCATAGGAAAACAGAATCAAACTTCTTTCATATTACTAAACTTACTCCAGTATTGAAAAAAAAAATATTTAGTGAACGTTCAATTTTTGTTTTAAAGTTTTTTCTCCAAGGGTGGAGATGGTAAGAAAAACTGTTGTTTTGTTTTTCTTTAATAGTATTTCTATTTCTTATAATATAAAATTAACACATTTATATTCTCATATTCTCATATTGTTACGCCACTGTCAAAACATTAAGTTCTTCTTTTTGTTTTTAGGTTAGACATACTTGTGAGGTGTTTTGACAGTGACAATTCATTAATTTTACCATTGTCAATTTTCTGGTCAATATTACTCATGATACTATGAATAACAAGATAGGATCTTCCCGTAGCTCAAAATCGGTGGGGTTCGCGCATGCCGTCATTGGAGACTAGAATTTGAATTCTTGTTAAAGTTAAATGAGATTTGTATGCATTCTGTGATGAAATTACTAGACGAAAATAAGTTAATAGGTTTAATAATTACAATAATCATACACATAAGGATATTTCCAAACTATTTATTAAAGATTATTTATTGATATATACAAAAACTGACATTTCGAACGTGCAAGTCTCCAATGACGTCACAAAAACATGCGCAATATCTTATCTTATAGTCATACCACAGAATAATAAACAATCAGAAGGGCCACTCTCAGATGCCGCCATTGAAGTTTTTCAGCACGCGCGCCATGTTTTAGGAGGACACAGGCATATGATTTGTGTGGTTATGTAATTGTTTATATTTATGTTTAATTATATTATATTTATGTTATTATATTTAACAATGTTAATATAATTGTATAGTATGTCTATGATTGCCGTAAGTCAAATAAACCTGGTTAATTTTTCCATGCACACCACAAAAACAACACTAATTTCTTTAAAATCCTCCTAAAACATGGCGGAACGTCTGCGCGGAGGAGATGCGCGTACTTAATTTTCCGTGGAGAGTGGGTATTCTGTTTGTTTATTATTCTGTGGTCATACTATCATGATATTACTTGTTGTTTGTAATTTTTATAACTAGAATATAAGCTTTAAATGTTGTTTCTTTTTTGCAGGTAATGTATTTATTAATAATTAATATTGTACAGAAAATAATAAAGTTTACACAGAGTTTTTTACAGAGAAACGCAGTTGATTTTATTTAAAAATATTAAAAAGCTTGATTACACACACACACACACACACACACACACACATATATATATATATATTATATATATATATATATATATATATATATATATATATCGTCAATCCAATATAAAATTAAGGATCACTCGAAGAGTGGTGGGTTTTTCGGTCAGAAGGTGGAGAGAAAAAAGACAAAGCAGGTGGCTGCTTCATCTATTTATTGACGACGTTTCACTTTCTAATCAGAAAGCATCATCAATTCATCTAAAAAGACAATATGAAAAACCAAACATCCATAGAAATGTTATTATAAGTGTTTTACCTCAAAAAGACATGTAGCAGTCAATGATATTAAAATTGTAAAGAAGCTTATGAAAATGGACATTATAAGATTATGTTGTATAAACAATAAATTGAACTAAATACAGTTAACAATTTGCCCAAGATTAGCACAGCAACAAAACATGTGGTAATTGTACATGTATATAAATATTATGTAAAAATAACTTAAGTAAAAAACATAAATATAAAGAACTTATAAGATCTAAGATGCACTTCCAACAGTATATCAATAGTTAAAATTTAATGTTAACAGTAGGTAGCATTATTAAAGTGATAAGAATAAAATTTAGTAATTTAAAAGTATAATGAAGTTACCACTACGAGCTTCTAGT